ACCAGCACAAGATTAAATGATAGCTCCAAGATGAAGCTCTTAAGAGAAAATCACACTTAAATCATAATTGAAGAGAAAAAATGTGACTATTGGAGAAGGGCTGTTTCTAGAAGGATCCTAAAAAAACTGGATATACATTTAAAAACAGTGGTGGTGCATGCCTTTAATTCCAGCACTTTGGAGGCAGAGGCAGAGGCAGACAAATCTCTGAGGCCAGCCTGGTCTATAGACTGAGTTCCAGAACAGCCAGGACCACAGGACCACACACACACACACACACACACACACACACACACACACACACACACACACACACACGAGAGAGAGAGAGAGAGAGAGAAAGAGAGAGAGAGAGAAAGAGAGAGACCCTATCTCTGAAAAAACCAAAACAGAACAAAACAAAAAAGACAGAAAGGAAGATTAATTGGTAGCCTCTAAACATCAGATGGGAACGCCTGGGACAGGTGTCTGCAGCTGATGGAAGACAGATGTGAGTAAGGTAGCAGAGTAGAAGCTGCCTCCACGAGAAAGACTGAACATGAAGAGGCAGGATAATGAAGATTACTCTATTTAAGAAAAGCAAGAGCATCCAGTATCAAAAGAGGAGTGACAGTAGGGCTGAAAGGTGTGAGAAGCTGAAGGGAAACCAGCAAAAAGTAGTTCAGGGCTGCTGTTGCCCAGCTCCCTAGCTGGGGGAAGGGACTAAGATTAGCTGGTGTATTGCCCCACTTACTATTACTGTAATAAATCACAGACTAAAAGCAACCAAAGGGAGGAAAGAACTTATTTTAGCTTATGGCTTATAGTCCAGCATAAAGGGAAGTTATTGTAGGAACTAAAGGCAGGAACCTGGAGGAAGGAACTAAAGCAGAGACCATGGAGAAATTCTGCTTGTTGGCTTGTTCCCAGTGGCTTTCACAACCTTTCTTTCTTTCTTTTTGTCTTTTTCCTTTTCTTTCTTTCTTTCTTTTTTTTTTTTTTTTTTTGGTTTGGTTTTTCGAGACAGGGTTTCTCTGTGGCAGACTGTCTTGGTACTTGCTTTGTAGACCAGGCTGGCCTTGAACTCACTGAGATCTACCTGACTCTGCCTCACAAATGCTGAGATTAAAAGCATGAGCCGCCAGCCCCAGGTGCAGCCTGCTGTCATATACCTCCCAGAAGCACCTGACTAAGGGGGGGCACTGCACACAATGGGCTGGACCCTGTCATATCAATCATTAATCAAAAAGATGTCCTACAGGCAATCTGACTGAGGCATTTTCTCATCAGAGGCTTTTCCCAGATGACTCTATTCTGTGTCAAGTTAACAAATCTAAACAGGATGTTTGACAAACTCTGGAGCCATCTATCCAGCACATTTTCACCACTACATAGACATAGAACTTGTCAGCTCTAGCAAGCTACTTGACGTCCACTCTTAGCTCTAGCCAATGTTCAGTGTTTACTGGATTTTGAAGTATGGAGACAGGTCCAACAGGACAGATCTGTGCCATCTGCTTCCTATATTCCCAAATCACTCATGACACAGACACTGACTAGAACATCAGCAACCTCAAGCTGTACAAACTGGGGGTTCCAGGAAGGCGTAAAAGCTGACTGGATAACAGACTACAAAGCTAAGCATGGCCAGTATAAAATCCTGGTAAGCAAAGTCGGGGAGCTAGTCACATGACTGCCATGGTAGATAACTGACACTTGTCCAGTATAACTCACATGAAAGACATGGGCCTCCAAGTTCAAGGAACAACCCTTATCTTGGTATCTCTACCTCTGAAGTGCTGATAGTACAGACACAAGTCACAAACACCTAGGTCCTGTTTTTAACGTGTTTGCTTCTTGGTTTGGAAGATCAAATTCTGAACCTCATGCTAGTGAGATGAAAATGCATTTTTTAAACTAGAAAGATTATATTCAAATTAAAAGCTTAAATTTCTTCATATATATATATATATAATTTATTTATCATGTATACAGTGCATGACAGAAGAGGGCACCAGATCCCATTACAGATGGTTGTCAGCCACCATGTGGTTGCTAGGAATTGAACTCAGGACCTCTGGAAGAACAGTCAGTGCTCTTAACCCCTGAGCCATCTCTCTAGCCCCTAAAACCCCAATATTTATTTAACAGTTCTCTCTAAAGACCACAGACAGTCTTCCAAATAGAACTGTCCATGTTAAAATATCCTGATGAGACAAAGAATTGTGGAAGAAATGTGTAAGCAAGAGTGTACCTGGCTTACACTCTGTGAAAGCATCAATTGAGCATTCAAAAGACCAGGACTGATGCTGCAGAGCACCAAGTCAGGAGTTCTAAAGATAAATTAATACATAAAAAGAATTTCAGTTATATAAGTAGGCATATTACAGGCAAAGTATCACAGACCTAACAACAGAAAAGGGCTCTCCCATTTAGACATAATAAGGATAAAGGAAGAAAAGAGAAAATACAGGACTGTGTGAATCATGATCAGACAGAAAAATATCAAAGAAAAATGTCTTAAGTTAAGGTAACTAAGCTAGTTAACAAGGGAAGACACAAGCATATTTCTCAGCACTTGTCCTTAAAGATCGACCCTCGACATTTATTTGTCAGGTTTGAAGCCTTTAAAGAGAAGATCTTACATTCTGCCAAGAAGAAAGGTGGTGTAAGAACATCTTTGGACCTATTTTTTCAGATCTTTAAGAATGGAGACACTAAAAAGAACATGGATTTTAAATATGACTCATACAGTCCTGAGAGAACAATCAGTAAGGTCCCATCCTTGTTCAGATCACAAGACAGAGAGGGTTTGAGTAGCTATGGAAAGACACTAAGAGGTGAGTGGCATTTTCTAAGAGAATAAAATATGAACAAAGAACAAAATTGCACTGATTTACAATCAATGAATTTCACCACACATTATAAGAAGGATAATTAAAAGACATCAAAACTCTCAAGAATGGTGAACATGGCAAATTTTACATAACTACAAATTGTTTCCAGCTCCACAAGGAGTGGCATGTGACTTCCGAGGCTAGTCCCAAGATGCTTTGCAGCTTTTGCACTTGCTGTCTTGGAAGCACACTATGGCTAGATGAAGCTGGGCTTCTCCAAAGGACTCATGGCCCAGATGGCAACTGGCACTGCCAGACAGATGTGAATAAGGTCACCACAGGTCAACCTGCTCTACTTAAATTGCCAGCTGTCAGGAACCATGTGAGGCCCAGGTGAGACCAACACAAAAACTGATGGGCCCAAACTGCTGACACACAAACCTGCAAGCAAATAGAACAATTGTTTTAAGCCATTAACTCTAGAGTAGTTTAACCAGAAAGAGAACTGTTAAAATGGGGGTGGAGGGAAGAACAGGTACTCCAGTTTCTAGGGTCTCATATCTGGGTTACAAGTTAAAGATCTCTGCTCCTCCACTTGTAGCTGCTTTCAACAACAACTACACTTCCTTAACATAAATGGAATTTGGTTAATCAAAGATTATTGACACATATCAATTGCCAGGCTACAGACAAACAGATAGCTTTGCAATAAAATCCCTTACTGTGGTGGTTGATAAATAAACCTCTTGTCACTCACTTTTAATAACCTGGTATAGGGAAAATCTAGGAAACACTAGATATTTTTTAGGGAGGTGTGAGGAGCCACCACAACCAAAGACATGGAAGAGCTGCAAGTGCTACCACAGTCCTGGCCTGGGTCTCAAAAAGAACAGGTAATAAAACTATGTAACAACAGATAGTTAATTAATGTACTTTTGAACCTGATCCTTTGGTTTTACCTTGTTTCAATGGTATATTACAGCCTTTTCAAAATTAGAATAGCAAGTAATTGCAATTACCTTCTTTAAAAATACCAATAATAACTATTTCTCAGAAAAGGAACTAGGTCATTTAAGGCATGTTATATTTGCACTAAAGACAATTTCTTTCCATTTTCTTTTTTTGATAGGTTGTTAAGTCAGTTTAAAACAATTATTTTAGTGGTAACTTAAATGTTTAGAAGTTTATTGGGAGTATTTTAAGCTTAGAATCATGTCATTATTCCTAAAATAAAATAAGGCTGTGTGCTTACTTGAAGTTGAGTATATAGTAGTGAAAATTGAGATTTTCTTTTTAACTTTAAAATTTAACACAGAAGCCAAACTCTTCAATCAGCCTTGAGCCCCACATATCACATTTTCTTGTTTGCATCCTCCAAACCTGTGCTATCAAGCTCCTTACTCCTTAGCATGTGAGTGCTTCCCCACCTGATTTTACAATTTCTCACATTAAAACAGTATGATTTTTAATGAACTCTGAAAAAATACCTCAAGTTCTCAAGAGGACAGAAGAGGAAAAATACAATGTTTATTGACTAAAACAGAACTTCTCTTCTGCTTTGTTCTCTATTTGAAGCCTTTCATTGGGCCTAGAATGTGGAGATGAAGGTGACAGTCCAAAAAGAGCCACCTGCCAGTTGTATGACTGCTTAGTGCTGAGGTCAGGACTACAGGCCCCATACTCCTGGCAAGCTCTGGGGATAGAGCATCCTCCCTCTTTCATCTTTCCCTTCCCTCCTGCCTCAGGAAAGGCCAAAGAAAGTCTGCAGCACTTTAAACATGGAATTTTGAGAGGTTCCTTTTTCGGTCAGAGAAGTCAAACTTTCCCTCCCCACATTTAATTATCTAAGATCATCAATGACAACAAGACAGAGTACCTATGACAATTAAACGATGACAAAACACCTCAAAATGGCTTGGCAAGCTTTTAAGAGGAGAGCTTTGAGTCACTTTTCTGCACACTCGAGGCCTCGCCCTTTCAGCACTCACTTACATGCAAAGGTCAGGCTAGTTGAGTGAGTGCTCCCTAAGGGCCACATGGAGCCACACCAAGGGCCATGTGTTCCACCTGGAGACACTCAGGGCCACATGTTCCACATGAAGACACCCTGAGGGCCACACATTACACATGGAGAGCTAGTTGTTAATTGTGCAGATAGAAAAACCATGAAATTGTACCCATTACCTCAGTGGGGCTCTGGAGACTGAGATCTAAGCCACAAGTAAACTCTGTGTGATGTTCCACTGTTTCTAGAAGCGGATCAGGCTTTGAAAAATTCCAGAATCTGTGACAGTAAGAAGAGAGAGGAGAGAAAAAGAAAAAGTAAGTCTAAAATGCTTCTATTAACAAGTAGATATATGGCATAGAAAACATTTTTATCACAACAAGCTCAACTAATTGACAAATGCAGGCCCACTATTGATTTACATAAAACATCTAATAAGGGAAGCCTGTATTTCATTCTATTAGATCAAAGAACAAAACAGAATTACCAATCTGCCCAGTTTTTAAGAAAATTACTGTGTTCTCATTCTGATAGATTGTAAAATGGAAGCTTAGAAAGTTTCTGTTTAGAAAATGAATTGTTAAGCTCTACAAGGGCATTTGGGATGGGAGATGCTGCTTTCTTTCATAGGTTCCTAAAAGCAATCATGTGTGGAAAACAAGAATATTGGATCAGATGAACTCTTAACATTTTGTGACTTTTAAATTCTATTTCATTTCTTAACAAGTAGCATGAAAAGCACTTAGGTTTAATTTACATTTCAACAGCAATTCAATTTCTTTAAATGGATCTGTTCTCTTGTGAACACCACTATAAATGCTAAAACTCTCTTTTCAGGCATAGCCTTTCTTAGAGATTTCCCCATCAATGTCATTTCCAGAGTCAAGCTAATATTTTATATTCTACTTCTCCTTTATAAACTGAGAATGACAATATTTACCATAATACAGCTCTGATTTCTGTTGTTCAGAAAATTTTGCTCTATTTTCAATACATAAAATAGTACCTAAGCTTTCTAAGGCTTAATATCTTTCTATTTATTCTAAACATGCTATAAAAACAGCACATTCAGAATCCTAGGAATCATCTCCCAATTCAGCTTTCTAATGATGTATAACATGGAACACGCTGAAGGTTGGGCTGGTCCCTCTGAAAGAGAGCAAACATACGGAACCAACAGTCACAGTTTGTTTAACCTGGTGGTATTATTTCCCTAATAAACACAGCGCTGGTCCTATTAAGTTTTGAAAAGGACTGTTGCTATGGATAATCTCCTGTGTGGGTACCAGACAGATATTGAACAAATAGCTCATTTATCTGATTACTGAGAGCTAGAGAATATTTACGGAGAGAATTTTACTTTTGAAAATGTACTTTTTCAAAATAAATTAAGGGTATAAGCCACAGACCTCAGAAATGCTAATGATAGTTTTCTTGTTTTTGCATACTTGTTCCTAGACAGTGAACTGCACCAAGATCCAATTTTCTGAATCTTAATGATGTTTATATAAGCAAAAGTAATTGTACAGCTTTGTTTCTAAAAACTAGTTACACATTGATTTGCATTACTTGAAACAATAATCAGATGCTTTTGCATATATCCCCAATGTTCCAACCATTCATAATGGTTTTTAAAATATGCATGTAGCATGACAAAAATGAGTTAAGGGAAAATTAAAGTTAGGAAAGTATGCTGGACCCTTCAATGAGATTAATAAATAACAACAGATCCCATGAAATCGTATGTACTTGACAGGGCAGAACTTCAGAATGTTAGGCTTCCTAGCAGCCACAGGAACAGACCACATCATCAGGTCCTGGACTTGCATCTACAAGCATAGTGTTCATCGATCACTCAGAAAGAAACTCTCCTTTGGAAAATCATAGACAAGACTATGTTTACATAATGAAAAATGTTACTAAGACCTCTTTGGTACAGAGAGATATGTCACCAGCTTCCACTTGTCAGTCAATGGCATTGCCCAAAGGATCTTCAGTGGTCAACTGACATAATCTAGGTATTCAGCACTCTGGCCCATATATATATATATAGTGCACCACCAATGCCCAGCAAAATTGCAGAACTCTTAATATATTTTGTTTCATTTTTTAATAAATTCAGACAGATACTTGATAGGTATTTCTGCAGTTATGGTGGGTGTGACTAGGTTTAGGACTCAGAGGCCTTTAAGGCCATTTGCACAGTGAGCATAACTGAATTGACTCCATTAAAGTCTTGCAGCCTCCTCACACTTGTTTGGATGGCTCCATACACGTGTTCTTATTGGATATTTTCATTTTCATGAAGCCTTCTCTCACTGCCATGCAGCATTACTTCAATTGGCTCATAGCAGCAATAACAGAAATTGCATTCTGGGAACCTGTTGCTTTTTATTATTTTTGAAAACTTCTAATATAAGGAGCCAGAGAGAGAAACTCTGTCTGGAAAAACCAAAAAAAAAAGTTCCTTAAATTTTAAAAAAACTAAAAGCCCTAAATAAAACACCAAAATAAGCAAGCCACCACCAAAAAAAATCGCAAGAACATACATGAGAAACACTGGGGTACTCAGCCAGCCTGACACCTACTGTGGATCTCTCTGGGCCTGTGTCTGCTTGGAGTAGACCCGCCCAGTCAGGGAGGATCTCCCTGAGTCTGGACACACCTCACTCTTCCTTCCCACTCCTCCACTGGCCTGACTCCTACTGAGGTGAGTGTACCCTCAGATCCTGTCCTATTCCTACTCAACTTCCCATTCACCCAGGATCTCTCTGGGCCTGGGCCTGCTTAGAGTGGACCCGCCTAGGCAGGGAGGAGCTCCTGGAGTCTGGACAAACCTCACTCTTCCTTCCCCTTTCCGCCACCGCCAGCCCTACCCTTACCAAGTGAGGAGACTACCAGGAGAGGCAAGACCATCCAGAGCTGCAGACATTGAAGTCTTGCCCACACATACCACCAGGTGACAAGAGGAGATAGAGAGACCCCAGCTGCACCCATGGGAAGAAGACTGAATAAGAACACACTCAACAACAGAAAGACCAATATGACACCACCAGAATCTAGGGACTCCACCCCAGCAAAATCTGAAAAGCCCAACACAGAGAATGAAGAAGAGATAGACCTCAAAAATTATCTTAGGAAGATGATAGAGACCTTTAAAGAGGAAACAAGAAAATCCCTTAAAGAAATAGAAGAAAAAACAAGCAAAAATTACATGAAGTGGATGAAAAGATAAACCAAAAAATTCAAGAAATAAACAAATCTCTTAAAGAATCTAAAGAAAGCCAAGAAAAACAGCCAAACAAGTGAAGCAGGCACTCGCAACAGTTCAAGGCATGAAAGCTGAAATAGAAACAATAACGAAAACACAGAATCAGGGGATGCTGGAAATAGAAAGGCTGGATAAACAATTGGGAACTAAAGATGTGAGTATAAGCAATAGAATTCAAGAGATGGAAGAGAGAATCTCAGTTGTTGAAGACTCCCTAATGGATATACAGTCATCGACCAAAGAAAGTCTCAAGTCCAACAAATCCCTAACAGAAAATATCCAGGAAATATGGGACACTGTGAAAAGGCCGAACCTAAGAATAATAGGTATAGAAGAAGGTGAGGAAATACAGCTCAAAGGTACAGAAAACATATTCAAAAAATCATAGAAGAAAACCTCCCCAACCTACAGAAGGATATGCCTATGAAAAGTACAAGAAGCTTACAGAACACCAAACAGACTGGACCATAGAAAGAAGTCCCCTCGACACATAATAATCAAAATACCATAGCTACAGAATAAAGAGAAAATATTAAGAGCAGCAAAGGAAAAAAGGCCAAGTAACATATAAAGGCAGACCTATCAGAATCCCTCCCGACTTCTCAATGGAAACTTTGAAAGCCAGAAGGTCCTGGATAGATATCCTACAAACACTAAGGGAGCATGGATGCCAATCCAGAGTACTGGACCCAGCAAAACTTTCAATCACACTATAGATGGAGAAAACAAGATATTCCATGACAAAAACCAGACTTAAATGATACATATCCACAAATCTAGCACTACAGAAAGTTCTGGAGAGAAAACTCCAACCCAATGAAGATAACTACACTCACAAAAACATAGGCAATAGATAATCCAATTTTACCAAACACGAAAAGAAACGGGAGGGTGAAATCCACACACAATGACACCACCAACAATAAATCCAAAACAAGCAAGAACCAACAATCAATGGACATTAATATCCCTCAATGTCAATGATCTTAACCTGCCTATAAAAAGATACAGGCAAACAGAATGGATACGAAGACAGAATCCATCCTTCTGCTGTATAGAAGAAACACACCTGAACTTCAAAGACAGGCGTTATCTCAGAGTAAAAAGTTGGGAAAAGATTTTCCAATCAAATGGGCCCAAGAAACAAGCTGATGTAGCAATCCTAATATATAACAAATTAGACTTCAAACTATAATCAATCAAAAGAGATGAAGAAGGGCATTTCGTACTTATCACAGGAAAAATATACCAAGATGAAATCTCAATCCTGAACATCTATGCCCCAAATACAAAGGCACCCACATTTGTAAAAGAAACATTACTAAAGCTCAAATCACACATAAAACCACACACACTTCAACACCCCGATTTCACCACTAGACAGGACCACCAGGCAGAAACTTAACAAAGAAACAAAGGATCTAACAGAAGTTATGACCCAACTTGGTTTAACAGATATCTATATAACATTCCATCCAAACACAAAAGAATATACCTTCTTCTCAGCACCACATGGAACCTTCGCTAAAATTGACCATATAGTTGGCAACAAAGCAAACCTCCACAGATACAAAAGAATTGAAATAACCCCCTGATCACCATGCTTTAAAGTTAGAATTCAACAGCAATACAAATTGCAGAAAACCTACAAACTCATGGAAACTGAATAACACCCAATTGCACCATTCCTGAGTTGAGGAAGAAATAAAAAAAGAAATTAAAGACTTCCTAGAATTTAATGAGAATGTAGACACAACATACCCAAACTTATGGGACACTCTGAAAGCAGTGCAAAGAGAAAAGTTTATAGCCCACATGAAGAAACTGGAGAATGGTCACACTAGAAAATTGACAGAACAACTGAAAACTTTAGAGCAAAAAGAAGCAAACTCACCAAGGAGGAGTAGATGCCAGGAAATAATCAAACTGAGGGCTGAAGTCAATAAAGTAGAAATTAGGAAAACATTACAAAGAATCAATGAAACAAAGAGTTGTTTCTTTGGAAGAT